GCATAGAAATATAATAAATTCAATTCAATTCAATTCAGACACAGCTGGACAGGGGAAACCTTTACCTATTCTGATATCACTTCTCATCTTGTAAAGAGAAGAGCAAAGCTTTGTGTTGTGGCAAAATGCTTATTCCCATCTCACTTTGCAATTAAACGTGGTATAGCTTTAATACTGAATGTATTTACGAACATTGTATTATGAAGAATTTGTATACAATAAAAGAGGCTTGCAAATATTAATTTACTTAGCCAACTAAATTATTCCTAAATGACCAGAGTAAAGTCATGAAAAGTCTTTTCTTTCTCTTTAGTCATATGGTGATAATATAGGTAGGCAGACCAATAATGTTTTCAAGGTGACTTGCAATTATTTTTGACAAGTCCCTTTTATAAACTGAATGTTCTGTTTCCAAACATGAGGGAATTAAATATGAATGCCTTACCTTTGAATCATTACTTCCAGGAATTTCTAGTTTAGCCTTCTTTTTGTGTCGACTCTGGAATGTCACAACTTCAACATGTGTTGCCTTTTCTTCTTGGGCACTTTTGAATGGGAGTGGATGAGGGGAACTGGAACCCAAGACACATTTTTTCTCATTAACACTTGCCAATTCATCTTTCAAATTGTCAAAGAAATTGGGCACACTTTTCCTCTTGTCTGAAGATGATGTACCATGTTCAGGATTGACAAATGATGTAGTAGGGCTGGCCACTGTTGCTGTTATCTGTTGAGAGTGTCTTTTCTTATTCCTTTTCTTTTTGCATTTCCCTGGTGGTGATTCACCTATAGTTTAAAAGCAAACATGTCCATCCCCTTGTTCCATTCAACCCAGAAAAATCAAAATAGCCCTTTTTCTGCAAATTTAAATTATACTGATATTTTACTTTGAACAAATAAAAATCAAGCAAAACCACTTAAATGGGTAGCAATGTACACACTTTATCATGCTCAGAACTCAGAATTGACTGTTCATATTCACAAATTGCAGTATTAAGTGTTACCAGTATAGCCTCAAGTTTAGCAACCATATAGGTAATCTCCAGAATGATCTGTCCTCAATTAAGCCTGTTATATCTTTCAATGGTGCATTTTCTTTGCTGTTGTAATCAAATCCATTATCTTGTTGCTTGTCTGCCTCTTTTTTCTTTCTTTCCATTTTCCCCAGCATTATAGGCTTCTCAGGGGAACTGAGTCTTCACATAATGTGCCCAGAGAATTATAGTTCGAGCCTCAACATTTGTACATTAAATAAGAATTTGGGACTGATTTGTTCTATGACTTAATTGTTTATTTTCTTGACTATTTTTGGTGTTTTCCGAACAGAAGCATTTTTGTACACTTGCTAGGAACTGATATATTGGGAATCTGTATTTACATTAATTCTTGTAATTTTAATTGCTCTTTATATTTGTTTTCAAATTTCTATTTTTATTACATTATAAGCCACCGATAGGCATTTCAAATATTGAATTGGGAGGCATATAAACTAAATAAATAAAATTAAAATGGAGCTCAATGAGACCTTATTTATTTATTTATTTATTTATTTATTTATACGTACATACTTAGATAGAAATTCATATTTCTGTTATTGTATTTAAATTTATTTATTTATTTATTTATACGTACATACTTAGATAGAAATTCATATTTCTGTTATTGTATTTAAATTTATTTATTTATTTATTTATTTATACGTACATACTTAGATAGAAATTCATATTTCTGTTATTGTATTTAAATTTATTTATTTATTTATTTATACGTACATACTTAGATAGAAATTCATATTTCTGTTATTGTATTTAAATTTTAGCTAAATTTGGCCAAATTTAAATGCTAAAGTTAAACTGTAGAGTAAGTAAAAACTTATTCTACAGTTCAGCGTTTTCATTTGTGCTATAGTATTCAGAACCTAGATGTAGACACTTGGAACAATAAAGAACACAAAACTTTCTGTAAGAACTTAAAGGGGATCTATACATAGTATATGCAGAATAATGTACCTATTGTATCTCCTTATTATCAACAGATCATTGAGCAAAACAATATACCAAACATGAAAACAGAAATGATATTCAATAATTTAAAAATAATTTTTGCAGATGTGGAATTGGCAAGAAACCGAAATTAGGACCTTGGGTAAGTATTCGAACAGGGTTTCTGGCCGGAATGAACAAAAGATAGATCCCATCGAGTATCTGTTACCTTGTTGCTTGAAAGCCCTCTAGGATTAATGGGTCTAATCAAGACTGGTTGGTTTCAATGGCCGGAAAGTGGGGGTTTCGGATCATTTCGCCTTCACTTAAAGAAACAGTGAAACATCAATACAACTATATAACACGTGAAGGCTTCTCAGTTCTGCAAGATTTCACTTCCGCCAGCTCCTCTTGTTTCCAGCATCCGTTTCATTGCGCCAGCCCCTTGCCCGCAGAAATATTGTTAGTACAGTATTGAGAGCAGGAGATGGCTAGGAATCCGGAAAGGGGAAGAAAAAAGGGGAGCAGGCAGGGGGTCCCATGGTAAGAATAGGGGGAAGCAACACCGAAACCCATAGTCCCTGGGAAAAATCAGATTCGAGATCAACCCACCGAAGTCATACAGGGAACCGAGAACGGTGTCCAGCAGCCCTTCTGCAAAAGCGAAGTCCTCCTTCTCGTCCTCTTTGGGCGACGGGCTCCGACCGCCCGCGATTCCCACCATGCCGCTTCTTTTCCCTGCCCTTCCCCCAAAGGCGATCACACGCCCCAGAGGAGGTTTGGCCCCGCGCGAATACCGTCGCGGACAAGATGGCGGCGCCCGTTGGCTACTTCCGCCCTTCTTCCCAGAGTGACAGATTCCCTCCTTCGGCTGGCTTCGCAGAGCACGGTGGCGAGGGCGTCGTCGGCGAGCAGGGGCGGGTAGATGGGTGCTACCGGTAACCGGCGGGGGAGGGAGCCAGCCAGCCAGAAGTGAGTGCAGCCGGGCACCCCGACAGGAGAAAGCAGCCTGGCGATGGCCGCAGCGGTCGGGGCAGCCGCTCGGCGGCCCCCCCCTGTATACTCGGTAAGTAGCTGCCTCCCGTTTTGGGAATGGCGGAGGGGGGAGCAGCAGCCGAGGCGGGATTGCTTCATGCAGGCTGAATTGGGAGACGGGGAAAAGGGAGAGGCTGGGCGTGCTTGGAAGCCCTGCAGCGCCGTCGGCCAAAGGCCTCGCTCCCCCCTTCCCCCAATCCCTTCCTGGGCATCCTTGCACTTGTGGTAACGGGACAGCCGCTTCTTTTGGGGGGCTAGAAGAAGCGGGTACTGCAATGGTTGCCTGACGCTCAGCAGGTTAACAGCAGCAGCAGCGGCCTCCATTATTCCCTGCCAGCATTTAAAGCATGTTCCGATAACCTTTCTGTTGTAGCTGTGTTGAACCACACTTTTTGCACCCTGGCTGGGGATGATGGTGGGACTTGTGGTTCCCCACTGCGGATCACCATCGGGCTGGGGAAGGCTGCCACATGCACCCGTGTGCTCTGTGTGATGAGTTGCTTTTCACATGCCTGGATTCAAGGACCAGACCGCCTTGTAATCTTGTTCCAGGCATAAATTTGAACAATTTAGATACAGTTGATTCGACTAATGCTTTAATCTCAGATATTATGGTGATTGATAAAATGGTCATCCAGATTTATGTTCAAAATACATAATATGCTGAATATTTTTTTTAAGGCATATAGGAAATAAATAGGATGCAATCATGTAGATTGTGGTGGTTTAAGATGTTAGACAGGAAGATCAGGCTAAAATCTACCCATGGCCATGAAAGATCATTGGGTGACTTTGGGTCAGCCACTATTCCTTAGACCAATTAGTTCACAGAGCTATTGGTATGCTGTTTTCAACTACCGAAGAAAAGGTGAAAAATAAATCTAACAAATACATTAGTAAACTTTTATGTTGTACTTCTTTATATTGCCACCAAAAACAAACCATTAAGGTAGAGAGTATTGTTTTGTAAAGTCTGTTTTCTATTCATCATTTCAGTATGTGTGACCTCGTTGGAATAATATGAGATTTATCAAATTGCTTACCTTATCAAAAGGTAATGACTCAATTATAATGTAGGATGGGTTCGTATCTGTAAATACTGATTCTTATGATTAGGAAATAATTTAAATAACATTTAATAACCACATCTCAAAAATAATTACAATAAGAGTAAGGAATGACATCACAAAACTGATGTTTCCATATGGTCTTGGAACAATCTCTAGCAACCAAAAAGTCCTGACAATTGCTTCAGTGTCTTTAGAGGTATTTTTTAAATTATATAATAGGTTTATCAAGAGTATCTTTAATAATTTGGTATAAGATAGAGAGAGAAAGCAGTTTGGTGTGGTTAAGGCATCAACCAAGTTCTAGTCCTACTTTAGGTATAAAACTAACTGGGTCACCTTGGGCCAGTCATTTTCTCTTACTCCTTGGAAGAAGGCAGTGGCAAACTACTTCTAAAAAACCTTGGCAACAAAACTAGAGGGACTTCTCCAGGCAGCCGCTGAGAATTGGGTATGATTGAACAGAAGAAAAAATATATATCTTATTGTCCCTGTGGAACAGGGAAGCTAAATACATATGGTAAGTGTCATACTGCTGGAAACTGGAAAATGTGTAAATACTTCTGGGGCCTTTTGCTCTTCTCAATGCTAAAGGGAATATGATTGTGCTTTAACTGATTGGTTTTTCAAGACTGACTTGTGCAATCCTTAATTCTCACATATTATCAATATGTATCCTATCCTTCCCTTCCCAAGAAGTGAATGCTGTAATATAGCATGCAGATAGTCCTCGACTTACAACCGCAATTGAGCCCAAAATTTCTATTGCTAAGTGAGATAGGTGTTGAGTGAATTTTGCCCCATTTTACGACCTTTTTTGACACAGTTGTTAAATGAATTACTAAAGTTGTTACTAACACAGTTATAAGTGAATCTGGTTTCCCCATTGACTTTGCTTGTCAGAAGGTTGTAAAAGAGGATCAAATGACCCTGAGACGCTGCAACCATCATAAATATGAACCAGTTGCCAAGCATTTGAATTTTGATCACATGACCATGGGGATGCTGCAACGGTTGTAAATGTGAAAAATGGTCATAAGTCCTTTTTCAGTTTTGTTGTAACTTTGAACGGTCACTAAATGAACTATTGTAAGTCAAGGACTACCTGTATTACACCCTCCCGGTTTCTTGTAAAAGGACAGGAAGATTTTAATAGTGCCACTGAAGGAAGCAGAACCATGCATCTCTTTGGGTATTCAATAATACAAAACTAAATTTTCTCTGGGCAGAGCAGTACAGTGACAAATGCAGATTATGCATCTCATTTGTGGGAAAATATATCTAAGGAACTTATCAAGACTTCTTTTATATGGAGTCGCAGTATTACATCATCTTGCAATCCTGTCTATTCTGATTAAGAACGACTCTTCAAAGTTTTGGGCAGCAGTTCTTTCTCACCTTTTCTGTCTGTGATATTTGAAACTGGGAATGTCAAGGTTTGAACAAAAATACTTTCCATATCTTCTTGTGTATTCTGTAACCAAAGTTGCAGAAAAAAGGTCTGAACCAGTGGTGGGTTCCAACCGGTTTGGCCAAACTGGTAGTGGTTTGGCGGCCTGGGTCACTGGAACCGGCAGTGACCCAGGCATGCCACGCCCCCCCCTCGGCTTGTCAGGCCCCCAAACCAGTTCGCCATCTTGTTTTTCAGTTCTGCACATGCACAGAACAATTTTAATTGCACTGTGCATGCGCGCACAGCAGACATCAATGGTACACACGAGCGAACCAACAGTAGTGCCTGCCAGAACTCACCCCTAGTCTGAACAACGGATTAAAAGGGCCAGTTACATAATAGCACAAATGATGTGTTATGTCAACCACAGATATTTGAATCTTGCAATTGTTTAATAGATACCCATTCTTTCCAATGGACAGTTAAAGCTATATTTCATTGTGTTGGTATGCCATTAAACTCTGTGATGCCCAGAAACAATCTGGTATATCAATTTGTTATATTCAGTCCAGCTTTGGGATTATTTTTATTTAAATAAGATTTTAAATCTGTTAGAAGTATAGATAGTCCTCTGAATTATGTGTGCAATTGAGCTCACAATTATGGTCTTGAGTAGTGATGGTTGCAAAGCCATGCGACCAGACCTGATTTTGTCAGCTTATTTATGGCCGTCATAAAGCAAACACTGCGGTTGTTAAATGCTATGGAGTGGAGTTTGCTAGTAACCAGAAAAATGCTGATTGCCAGCAAAAATGTTGTAAATCATAATCATGTCACCACAGAGAGCTTCTGTAAATTTGAGCTGGTTGCCCAACACCCAAAATGTAGTCAAGTGGTCAGAGGGTGGGGAGAGGGGTGATGTTGTTACTTCAAAACCAGGTTATAAGACCCATTTTTGGGATACATTGTAAATTTGTTATAGTGGGGCAAAAAAGTATTTAGTCAGCCAACAGTTGTGCAAGTTCTTCCACTTAAAAAGATGAGAGAGGCCTGTAATTGACATCATAGGTAGACCTCACCTATGAGAGACAAAAAGAGAGAACAAATCCAGACAATCAAATTGTCTGATTTGGAAAGAATTTTTTTTGCAAATTATGGTGGAAAATAAGTATTTGGTCAATATCAAAAGTTCATCTCAATACTTTGTTAT